TACCGTAAAGTCTAGTTTATGTAGCCTTATTACCCCTTAACTTAAGTTAAGCAAGCAACCTCTCTTATCAAGAGTAGGTATTGAGGCTTTGGCGACAAAGAAAACTGAGAACTTATTAGAATAGGCCTTAAGGACCAATGGCTAAGATAAAGAGTCCACACTTCGGGCATCCGATACAGCAGAATGGTAAACTGCTGCAAAGCACACAAAACCAAGCGCCGCGCTAAAGCAGCCCCCAACAGAATAAAGGAATTCACGGTGTACGGAACCCTTTTCGGAAATCAATCTAACACGTGTTCGGCTTAGTCTAAATGAAAAAAAACGTCTCTGAATGCGAGACCGACAAGAAACTGATATGGCTCGCTACCAACCTCACAGATAAAAGTCAATCTTTTTCACCGATGTATCGTACTCTCTCGACCAAAAGAAATAAGGCAATCAATTCACTAGTCAGTGTTCGCTTAAGCTCCCACGTGGTGATTTTTTTTAGGAATTCGCCTAGTTGCGCCAAGGTATCGGCCTTTTAATAAATAGGAGCGAAACCTTTCTTTTATTCTCAACTAACCGGCTGACCAACTTGTCCTTCCTCTCAGATACATGACTTACATACCCGGCTCAACATTCTTGGAAAACAATCGAAGAAAATCATAGGCATCTTCCATTCATATCGATTAGGGTTTCTTTCCCTTGTCAGAACGAGCCCGATTCATATGCCTAATCCACCTGTATACCATAACTACATTTATTAAATTGCGAAAATAAAACCCTATTTTAGGAACAAAACCTTTTGGCACTGGATTCTCAGGGCATCCCTTGCAGGCATTAATGTAAGTTCCCAGTTGGGATTGCCCTCTTTTTACATATGTCATATAATTCTGAACATACGATGAGCATACCTTTCGGACCCAGAAGAATTCTTTGCAATCTAAATTTGCTTTTTTCTTCGGATCCCATGGCTCATTCACCAATCTCAACAAGGCGTCCCTATCAAAATTAACAGGTTTAACCCTCTTCCTTTTCATTTTTTTTGTTGAGGGACTTTTGGATAAAGGCGGTTTGAAGTTTATTACTACATCAAGTAATGCATGCATTCCATAGACATGTTTGAAAGATGAAATATAGAATTTCCAATTTTTGTATATCCCCGTTGGTACTGGATTAATAAGGGAACCCCTCCTACAATAATCCAAATACTTACGTAGAAAAGCTATATTAAATTTGAATGCGTGCCAAAGCAAAAAAAAGAGGTGTTGCATGATTGATTCGTCTAAAATGATTCCCTTCAGACAGACAGAAAGCCTGTAAGAGTAGTCAATAAAGTGAATTTTTCTTGGTTGTTAACCAAAGAAAGAAATGGGAGTTTTTGCTGCTATTTTCGATCCATTAGGTTCTTCGATTTGTTCAGGAAAAAAAACGAGAGACAAGAAAAAATCTTTGATTACGATTAAAAGGTCAAATAAACCAAGATAAAATTTCGGGTCATTTCTTGGTGAACATAATCTGTCATAATATCTTTGATACCGTCATTTATGTGCCAAAATAGAGAGAGATTTAATAGGAAAGTGGAATAGACTTTTTTGTATATAAAAATTCAAGGGAGTAGGAAAGCTGCAGTAATTCTTTGGAAAAGCCCGTTCTCTTTGTCTTCGAGCTTTCATTCCTCAATCCACTGATTCGTTCCTTCATATACCTCCCCACCAATAGATAGAGACAAATAGGAATAACCAAACCACGTCTACAAAATGCCAGTACCATGCAGCTGCTTCAAAGCCAACGTGATGCTCCTTGGTCAGATGACCAAGATATTGGCGAATACCACAGATAATCAAGAAAAGAGTACCTATAATCACATGAAAACCATGAAAGCCAGTTGCTAAGAAAAAGGTAGAACCATAAATACTATCCGAAATAGTGAAGGGTGCTTGATAATATTCCATTCCTTGAAAGCCAGTGAATACTAGAGCCAATAAAACGGTAGCTGCTAAAGCGTAAACTGCTCATTTTTCCTTTCCTGCCAATATAGGATGATGAGCCCAAGTTACGGCAGCTCCGGATGATAGGGGAATAAGGGTATTAAGAAAAGGGATTTCCCAAGGATCTAAAACCTCAATCCCTTTTGGGGGCCAAATACCTCCGATCTCTACCGTAGGCGCCAAAGAAGAATGAGAAAAAGCCCAAAAAAAAGCAAAAAAGAACATAACCTCCGATACGATAAAAAGAATAAACCATATCGAGGTCCTAATTGTACGACTTTGGTATGATGTCCTTCCAACGTGGATTCACGTAGAACATCGCGCCACCATACGAACATGGTATTAAGGATAAATATAAGGCCAAAACTGAGAAGTGTTGCACCCCCTTGAAATGAGTGCATGTACATCACACCTCCTACGGTTGTTGCCAAAGCTCCGAGTGAACCAGAAATAGGCCATGGACTTGGATCTACCAAATGATAAGAATGCCTCTGAGATTCAATCATAAACCACTTTACCTCGGTTGTATTGTAAACCCCCCTTCACCCACACCCCCTAAAGTAGTAAAGAGAAGGGCTCTTTGGGGTCTAATTTTCTTTCTATCTTACAGGACAAACAAATAGGAAGGGATGGTTTTTTCATTGCTTTGATAGAAGTCTAACTAGAAAAGGATTTTTCTACTGTGACTTTTACTCCTTTTACTTTGAGAAGAGAATCGTTGGTTTGACCGACGAACTACGTGGGAAAATAGACCTTCTTTCTTTGATTTTAAACAAGATTATAGGAAAAAACGAATCCCAACATTCTCATTCACAAGATTCAAGGCTATTACGAAATTTAAATAGTGCCCCACATTCTTATTATTTCGAGAGTTTTAATCATAATGGGGTCATAATCATACCCGCCTTCTAATAAGAGGGCATGCACATAGGTGAGAGTGGATAGATCTGTCAAATCAGCATTTATTGAACAAATGACAGATTGTGCCAATTTATTAGTCCAGGAGTGATTTAATATAATGAAATAGAAAACTACCCAAAATGGTTGTTTCTTTTTTTTGAGTTTAAAGGACAAAAGAACTAGACAACTTGCTTAATAAAATATAAAAAGTAATGCTAAGATGGTTCCTTGTTTTGTAGTTGACTATGGCAGCTGGTGCAGCTATCATTTACCTAGGATTTCTTCACCTTTAAGTCTTCAAAACATGGTCAAAGATGGCTGCAAAGTTGGACCATGAGTTGTCAACAAAAGTGGCTCGACTTGGATTACACCATGACTTGCTTTTATCCTTCAAATCTGGCCACCTTTTATTGTTGAGGGTTTGGCCAAAATTTTAATGAATTTAGACCAGATTGTAAGGCTCCAAAATACCTTAAAGATGGTTGAAAAAGATGGCCAAAAAGGAGTGATATGAATTGGCCTAAATCTGCTCAAAATTGGTTAACTTCTTCTTGGGCAGAAATGGAGGAAATTGACCCATTGAGGTGTTGCCTCCATCTTTACTTCTTCATGGTGCATTGTGAGGTTGGGGAGTGTTGCCATATTTGCCTTGAGCTTCCTAGCTTGTGATCTTGATGAGAATCAAGTAACCTTCCATGGAGGTTCTCCTAGTGAGGGGAATGAGCTAGTCCTTCATTCTAGTATTGGAATGCCAAGTTTACTTTGCAAACCAATCAAGGAAGAAAGGATGGATCTTGACTACCTATGTGATAGGGAGTTGGTTCAAGATCAAGGTGTTGAGAATGTCATTAACTTTGGGGTTCAAACCAAAGGAGATGAAGACCTCATGGAAATAAGTGCTAAAGAGTATCAAGAGAGTTTGACTCTGTGTGCTCCATGAAGATCATTGATCAAGCTAGTGAGAAGAGTCATTTAGGTTCTTGAGTGGACGGCCTATTTGATCAAAGTGTTCAAGATTGAGTCCATTGCTACACAATTGGATAGGTTGCAAACTATCTTAATTGTTTCAAGTGTTTTCCAATCTTTTGGAGTCAATAAAGAGAATTCTACAAGTTTTGGAGTAAATTGGAATTTTCTACAACTTAAGGGGCACAAGATCAATATTCCACTTTTGGAAGGGCGTTCAAGACATTTTACTTCAACAATTTGGAGCTGAATTTCGAGATTAGAGTTAGTCTAAGTCTAGGAGTCAATTTTTGAATTTTTATCTAGTTAAATAAGTCATGTGGACTGAATTAAACTAGAGTGTTTTGATTAGGAGTCTTAGATTCCTTCTAGATATTATCCTACTTGAGGATAAGTCATTTAGATAAGGTTTCCTAGATTTTAGATAGAGTCAAAGAGATCAAGTACTCTTCTACTTTTACTCCTTGTGAGATAAGATTAGAGAGTCCTAATTGGTCTTCTTTTAGTGGTGCTGGCCGAAAATTCTAAGCCTATAAATAGGAGGCTTGGCCGAATTTCTTAAGCACCCTTGAGTGGTCATTTTTGTTGTCTCTTTTGAGAGTTTTTCCTGTGAGGAATTTTTGTTAAATGGAGTGTCCATTTTTCGTGTCAAGTATGATTAAACCAAGAGGGTTTTCATCTTGTCTTGGATCTTTTTGATCTTGCAGAAACCGTTCTTTTTCAAGTATGCTTCTTGATAGAATTGTTTAGGGTTGATGGTTGCATTAACGAAATTTGCTTCGTCTACGAGATTGCTATCAGATCTTGTAAAAGGCTTTGAACTCGAAGGTGTACTATTTTCTTCAATGATGGGAATGTAGGTTTGTAAATTCTCATCAGAAATGTTGTTTATGTTCAAGGGAGGCACGCTGATATCTCCCATGCTGCCTCAGAGATGTTCTTGGGCTCTGGGTTGTGGAAATTGACTATGAGCAGGCTGTGAAGGATTTACATCCTAATGAAAATCTCACTGAAGCGATTCTGGAAGGTTTGTGTGATCATTTTTCAATTGCAGAGCGGGAGCGGGACACATATGCAGCTCCCCATTCTTTTTCCTACTCCGAGTTGTGCCTAGAGAACAAGGTGTGGTTGAAATTGATCACCACCAACATCATGCCCACCATGTATACCCAACAAGTCATCTATGAGAGGGCTCTACGAATCAGTGCCATTAGAACTTCCACTTCAATTGATGTGGCAAAAATTATCAGGGAGCAGATGACCGGCTGGGTCACTGACCCTACTGTTAGAAACTGGTACTTTCCAGTATCAGTCACACTGCTCTGTGGACAAGCTGATGTACTGTTTGTGGCAAGAGATGTGCACAAGACCATCCCTAGAAGTTGGAGTTACAGGACATTGGCCAGGGATCGACCACCGAGAGAAGAGCCACCACCAATCACTGGAGTTAGGAGGAAACACTTGACCAAGCAGCACAAGTACATGCTGGACTATATTCACTGCACTGCTACTTGGCTGGATGCACCAGTGACTCCAACATCATCCCATCACCACATCCCTTTGATGGGATAAATCCTTGATCACTCAGGGAAATCACTTGTTCACTCTCCCATGTCATTTTGTTTTCTGTTTTGTGTTTGTTGTGTTTTGTTAGCATTGGGGACATTGTTATCTTTTAAGTTTGAGGGAAGGGGGGTAGTGAATGTGGAGTATGTTTTTTGGTTTATTTATGTGTTTTTTTGTTTTTGTTTTTGTATGTTTTTCATTGTTTTTGAAATGTATTTAATCTAGGAAAGTAGTCTGTGTATAAGTGTAGTAACTGCATGCTGAAAAAATAGTCCAAAGTCTATGATGACTTAAGTGTTGTGGCTTACACCAAAGCTTTATTGTTAGAGCATCAATAATGCTTCGAAAGCTTCTAATGCCCAATCCCAGAAAAGAGAGCCTCTCCCAAGATCTCCAATGTCACTTGCTTTCTTCACTCGTACCACTCCAAAAGAATTTTAGGCATCTTCTCTCAATCTCTCTTATTGCTGATTTTGGAGGAGGAAGCGCCAAGAACACATGAATTGGAATAGAAGATAAGACATGTCGAATGAGAATTAACTTGCGACCTTGACTTAGCAATTTATTCTACCAACTCAAGAGTCGTTTGTCAATGCTATCATGAAGGAATTGAAATGTGGAAGCCTTGCGCCTACCCACATAAATTTTGCAGCCGAGATATTCAAAAGGAAGAGGTCCTCTCTGAATACCTAGAGTTCCTTGCACAATTGCCACCATTCGCACACAAGTTCCTTCCGACATCATAAAGTTACTCTTCTCGCGACTTACTTTCTGCCCTGATGCAATTTCATAGTCCACAAAGAAGTCATTTAAAGCATTCAAAGATCTTTTCAAACCTCTTGAGAAAACAATTGCATCATCTGCAAATGCTAGATGAGAAACCGAAAAAGAGCCAGCCGGAGTTCCATACTTCGCAATCCATCCACTTTCAATCAATGCCTTGAGCCTCCTTGTCATTGCTTCTGACACAATAATGAAGAGACAGGGTGACAAAGGGTCACCTTATTTTATACCTCTAGATGATTGAAAAAAGCCAACCGATCCTCCATTAATCATGATTGTGAACCATGCCCTGCGCAAGTTATTCATGATTGAAGACAAAAATGTAATCGAAAGCCAAATTTACATAAAACCTTCTCCAAGAAGCTCCATTTGACTCTATCAAAAGCTTTCACCATATCAAGCTTTAGAATGAAGTTGCCACCCTCTGCCTTTCGACCAAGGAATTGACACATATCCTAAGTAAGCAGGACATTATCCAAGATATCACGGCCTTCCAAAAATGCCTAATGCTCCTCTGAGATGATAGTAGGCAAAACAAATTTTAGTCGCTCAGTCAAAACTTTGGTGAATATTTTGTTGAGAAAAGTACAAAGGCTGATCGGCCTATAATCTGAAATGTAGTCACCGAGGTCTTCTTTGGAATTAAGGTTATCAAAGTACTTGTAATCAATCGTGGCATTGGCACACCATTCATGAACTCTTGGTAGGCAGCCAATAAACGCAGAAATTATATCCCAACAATTTCTGTAAAAGCATCCACCATAACCATCAACTCCCGGGGCACTATCTTCACTTAAGTTGAACAAGGATTGCTTTATCTCTTCAAGTTGGATTGGGTGCAACAAGGAGGCTTCTGCTTCATCTCCAAGAACTTGTGGAATATGCTCCAAAAATATGTCCTGCTTCAAAGCACACTGTGGATCAATTCCCTCCTCATTTTTAAAGGCTTTTATAGAACCGAACTCCTTCATGTTCAATGTCATCCATAGACGTCAAAGTTGGGCCATCCTTGGACTGAATTTTGAAAAGACCTTGCCTTAACCATCTCTCCTTTAAAGATGCATGAAAAAGGCTGAGTTTGAATCACCATCCTTCATCCATTTAATCTTCATTTTCCAAGACCAAAAGTCATTGTGTTCTTTCAATCTTTGCAACAACTCAGCTTTAGCTGTTTGGATATTCATATGATCATGGTCATTCCTGGTTGAATCCTAAATAGACTCAAGTTCTTGGACCGCATTCTCACATTAGTGCAAGTTCTCAAAGATATCTCCAAAAACTTCCTTATTCCACTCTGATGTGAACATCCATGGTAATCAAGTTCAAGATGATCAAGATGTTCGGGTTCCAAGTACTGTCCAAGCTCAAGGAGTGGCTCAAGATCCATTATCCAACATTGGAGCCCCAATGACTCGAGTTAGAAGTAAAAGGATGAAGAGTGCAATTAATACTCTTATATCAAATGATTTAGCCCAAGAGAATGTCAAGTCTGGAAGTTACAAGCCCAAGATTATTAATGTGTTACAAGGCCCATTTGAGGAAGGAATTTCGGCCCACAAACCAAGCAAGGGAAGCCGGCCCTATCTCCTAATTTTTAGGAGTTGGAATCTCGATCTTTTAGTGATAAAATCACTTAAATCTTATCACACTTGTGGAAGGATAAGATTTGGAAGATTCCCTATCTTTTAGAGGTAAGATCATTTAAATCTTATCACATGGAAGGATAAGATTTGATATGTTTCTCCTTTATCTAATTGAGAGTTTATTAAAAACAAGATGTCTATTCATTGGTGTCTACTCTCTACCTTTGGATGAAGATTAGATCAATATTGGATGGCTATGATTACTCTACAAAGAAGATATTGATAGAGTTGACAACTTAAGAAGATTCTTTTCAAGATAAGGATAAGAGTCTTTTTAGAGAATATCTCTTTGTATTTGGAGTTTTATTTTCATTAGACTAGTGTTTCTTAAGTCTATAAAGGTGTCTAGATATATTGCTTTCTTAGACAAGACATAAGTTGTCAATTAGAGGTTAAGTTGATTTCTAGTTCTTTAAAGTAGGAATAGAGTTAGAGATCAAACTCTTCTTCTAATTGTTAGGAGAATTTTTGCCCCCCTCTACTATAAATTGGGGTTCTTGGCCAGCATTTTAAGGATACCTTTGATGAATTTGATATTTCAATATGAGACGAGAGGAAACTCTTTGTTCTTTTCCTATTCTTTTCGAAGATTAATGCATTGCACACAAGCTTGTGCTTTTTTGATGCATGCGAGTAGAATAGGTGTTTTCTACTTGTGGAGCTTTGTTAGTTGTTTATTGGAGCCTTTTTGCTAGCCGTTCTATCCATAAATCGAAGTGATAGGGTTGTTAAAGAGGTGACCGATTGGGTTGCTAGCCTTAAACACTTTCTACATCTTCTAAACCTTTCCATCTCATTTTGGTGCAAATTTTTGTAGTTTGCATCTCTTTTTTCCTTTAATTTTTCGTGAGTTTGGAGTCCATAATATTGGATTTTTAAGTTTTCAAGTCCTGGGAAATCCATAGCTTCTGCGTTGAGGTAAATCTGCCACTTTGCCTCAAGATTCGTATCAATTGGCCTCAGAGCCTTGGTTTTTGAAAACTTGCAAGTAGAGTCAAGTGCAAATTGATACTTTGTATCAATTGGCACCAGAGCTTTTGGTTTTTGAAAACCTGAAAGTAGAGTCACTTGCAAAATTGATACTTTCAATCAATTGGTTATAAGAGCTTCGGCTCTTGAGGACTTGCTTTTGTTTTGATCTACTAAAGCTCATCTTTGGTTAGATCTCTATTTTTTCAAAAAAAAACTTTTGAGTCTTTTGTTATAGATCTCACTATTTTGCTTCGATTGTATTCTTGTTTGAGTTGATTGAAGTTGTTATAGTTAGATCCATTATTAGTCAAAAAAAAAAATTTGTTTTCTTCTCCTTAATTTTTGGATCTATGGTATCTTAATCCCAAATCCACGTTTTGAGTCACAAAAAAAAAGCCGTGTAAAATTAAAAAGAAAGACGGCATAGAAGGAGATTGGTATTTGAGTTTGACTTGAAGTGCAACTACTATTATTTGCACATATCTTTTTCAAAAATATTTGGATCTTCGGTGGCTAAAGTTTGTGCAAATATAGGCCCTTATTTATGAAGCAGCTGAAATTAGGGTTTTATCCATAATCCTAAGTCGAAGCTTTTATTTTTCAGAATTTGCTCCAAGTTCTATTAGCCTTTTTGTGAGATCTAAGTTTTCATAATTATAACTACTCGATCTATATTCGTGTTCTTCCTTAGATCTTGTTGCAATTATTTTTAGAACCTTACTTTTTTATCCTCTTTATTTGTTTCTATAAAGTACTTCTTGTATGACTATTCTTCATTGCACTAAAGAATTAAAAGACAAAGATAGTGGTAGGAAAAGAGTGAATCCATCCCTTACTAAATTCTAAACCTTCTTGAGAGATTTTGGGGAGTGAATAGAATAGTTGGGAGGGCTAACCAGGAAGTGAGTTCTTTGATATTCCTTTTCTTGTGCGTGTTGAGTTGTGTTTCAGGAAACATGGGAGACAAAGCTCTACCTCTTCCTCAACATGGAATGCTGTATTGTGCAAGATTTTAAAGATAAGATTGTGGCATTAACCAATCAATTGCAACTTATGACGATGGCAATGGCACAACAACAACGACGACAAGAAGAGACCACTCGCCAACAAGAAGAAACTGCTCATCAAATAAACCAACTTGCCCAAGTTAGGGATGCATTGGTGAATCCTGGACCTAACCTTGTTGCACGTAAGAACATCCATGGTGTACGTGGCAATGCCGGGCATGGGCAAGGTGGTGGCGTGGTAATGAAGGACAAGATGGTGACCGAGAAGAAGAAGGTGAAGGAGAGCAAGTAGAAATTCCAAGGGAACAAAATGATGATGATGGTGTCGAATCCTTTCGAGGAAAGAGGGAATGATGTGAACATCCATGGTAATCAAGTCCAAGATGATCAAGGTGTTCGGGTTCCAAGTACTGTTCAAGCTCAAGGAGTGGCTCAAGATCCATTATCCAACATTGGAAGCCCAATGACTCGAGCTAGAAGTAAAAGGATGAAGAGTGCACTTAATAATCTTATATCAAATGGTTTAGCCCAAAAGAATGTCAAGTCTGGAAGTTACAAGCCCAAGATTATTAATGTGTTACAAGGCCCATTTGAGGAAGGA